GAGACATCCATTGTGGGACACCCATTGGACTTTATTGCTACCTTTTAGAGCTCTTCTTTTGTCAGCGTATTAGTGAGTTTGTCAAAAAGGGTGGGGAGGGGACTTAAAGGGCTCAGAATCATGTTCATAGCTTGCGAATTTTGTGAATACTAGATTTGGAGAATGAGCGCAACTGGAACTATCGCGTATCGTAACTCGCAAGACTTGGGTAATCATAGCTGAGGAAGATTTTGGCTGTTGACGACCCCCAAATTCTTCTCATTCCCTTTCTAGTGATACCCACACTACAGGCCCCATAAAAGTACTGTTGATCATAGGGGGGCTAGAACTCAGAAATCGTAAACAGTAGTAACTGTCAAGCTACTAGGGGAGGGAGTATAGCGCGGGGGAAATCAATAAGCAAAAAACCAAATAAAATTCTTTTTCATAGGCGACCCAATTAGGCCCACAGAGGAGAATTCCTTGGCTTGGTCGCTTTGGAGAAAACGCGGAACTCTAGTGCTCGGGGCCAGTCTGTCCCATCTGGCCTTCTGTCGCTGACTTTCGAATCGCCTGTTCTCCTGCATTGTGGGTTGCTCAAATTTTCAAAGCGGAAATGCGACCTTGCTGTTTGAATGTTGCTTGGGGAAAAAAGGAAACAGGATCGAAGTGTTCAACTGAAGATCTCCGAGCTGGTTACGGGAAATGAGCCTGGTTCAGTTTTCTTAGAAGCCATTTATTAAATATTAGATTTTACAGGGTAGAATCGATCTATTTTTCCAAGTCGCCAAGCAAGTTCGATCAGAGCCAACGACAGCAAAAAGAAAGGCTCAAGAAGAAAAGAAAGCCCCAAAGAAGAAGGGTCCTCCCTCCAAGAAACTCAAGTAATTTACGCAGTCTACGGGTTTGCTTTCCCTGTCTCGGTTTCGTTAAAGGTAATGAGCACTGGAGGCGGGTGGTTGTTGTCAGCGAAGGGCTGCGAGGGGATGTTTGACCACACCCTATTCAGCCTTTCCACCAATGACTTTGGCGACAACCCCTGCCCCGTGCTCACTGTCTTTAAGTACGCAAAGCTTCTTTGTATACTTAATGGGTAGATTGTTTCTATGGATGCTTAGCGGGGAAATATTCGGTTGACTTTGATTTATTTTCGTCATTTTTTGAATTGTTGATCTCGTGTGTGTACTTTAACTTTTTAGTAGTGCAGGGGTGTCAAAATAACACGATTGTCGAAGATTTGGATAAAAACTCTTTATTAAATGTGTATTTCTTCTGTCACTACCGTATACAGCTTGCCTCCAGGCTGCGTATTTGCGTCTTCTGAAAATGAAATGTGTTAGCAACAAGGGTACTGGCACAGAACTGTTGCTGTGGATGCTGGGGCGTATCAGGAAGATAGGGTTTGGCGCGGCGCCAGCCAGTTCTGCACTAGTAAGCTGGCAAGCGGCAACAGTTACTGGAGTACTGGTTGGTGCCGCGCCAAACCCAGCTTCCCCCCCCCCTTCCCCACCGAAACGCCCATCAATCCCACAGCGAAGAAGACTTCACCGAGTCAGTAGTTTAAACCTACCAGGAGCATAATTTCTCTGTTCTTCGCCTCAAGTTCTCACACAGCGCAGCCATAGCTCCTGGTATATGATGCTGACCTTAAGAAAATTAAAGTGAGACTTATGGTTCGGTTTTTAGCAACATTTATATTATGCTGCCTTAGTTTTCAGAACTCTGGCCAGATTCTGCCGAATTTCGTCCTCGGGTTTAGATTTCGCTATAAAGGTTTGTTTCAGTGTAGTTTGACCTCCTGAACACGAAGTATGACGGAAACATATGTAGCAGGCGCCAAATTGATAAGGGATAGTGATCAATTTGGTTCGCCTGCTCCATATGTTTCCGTCACATACCTGTACCTTGAGGAAGCTGGCATTTTCATACGCAGACTTATGAGGTCCTCGACAGGTTCAACTATCGCTAGGTTGAGGTCTAAGATCGAATCTACCCAGTTCGACTTCCATAAAAATCAACCCAAAAATTTATGATGATGGGTGCAATAAAGGTGAACCAATAAAAGGGACTAGCGAAAATGCAAAGTGCCCCCCTACCCGACAAAACAGGACCTGTTGGAGTTACAGTTAAAGTTTACACTGGCAGTAATGTGATTTCGGCCTTAAAGACAGCCCCCGCGATCAAAGTGGCTCGTGGTCGCCTTTGCTGTGCAAGTAGTCTAGCCTCCAAGCTAGAAGACTGTTCACCTTTCGCGACTCTATTGTGAGCGTGGAGGCTGCTATAGCCGCTCAAAGTGCTAGTTCTAACTCCTCCTCAGTCGGACCGCCTTTACTTGCTAGATGTCCTCCGACGGAGGCCACTCACTTGTTCTTAGTTGGGGCGGCGGGCATTGCTAATGCCTCTGGATAATTCTGCTCTCCTTCATTACAGTTTACTCATTGGAGGTATATACATTCAATTCAACCCATTTCGCGAGGTGAAACGCGTAAAAAACACGAGTGACGCAATTTTCGTGATGCAAAACCACGACGCACAAAAGGTGCACAAATTCAGACACCGTGTTGATAAAATTCCTTTTTCCTTCCCAGAGTTTTTCCTCTGCGTTTTTGTTGTTTTCTTTTTGTATTCTTTCTTTTGCACTAGATGATATCAACTACTGCGAGATGTGATAGAGAGATTTGTGAGCTAGGGGCTGCACAGAGACCGCAGGGAGGTGTAACTGTGAGGGAGCGATTTTGTTTATGTTGTTCTGGAGAACGCTTCTTGCCTGTTTTCTTCTTTGGGAGATTACTTATCAGCTGCTGTTTCATAAATGAAAGTAGCTATCCATG